ACAACCTGAGGCCGATGCACCAAAGAAACCGCGTTCACATCCGTCACACTTTCGACCAGTCACGTATGGGGCACAGTGACACTGGCCCGTATACATGTCACATTCAGTTTCGGAGCCCAGCGTACCGGCGCCACAGTTGCAGGGCACGCAGTGGGGTTCACTTCCATTCCAGTAGTAACCGGGCTACAAGAAATTAATTTGCACATTAATAGAACTACCGATATGCTTTCAGTAGGCTTTAAATATCTACTCATTTTATGGTCTGCCGAGGAGTCAGCTACATACCAGGCACCGATCGCATTTCAATCCCGTCACGTTTTCGCCACACTTGCACTGCCCCGTCTGTGGGTGGCAAGTTGTATTCAGGGCGCGATTGCTGCACTGACATTCTGGAAAGAAAACAAACGAATTCGGGAAATGACTTCACTGACATATTTAACCGCAGGGCAGAGAGGGTGCCATATGCGATAGCTAGAAATAGTTTTATCGTTTTCGCTGTCCCTCAGAGAAGATGAAGAAGGAGGTACGAGGACACTGACCGAATTATCTTCAGATTGAAGTTTTGGACGCTTGCTCGGTTCCATCGTCAGAGTTACTAGGTGATTGTTCTTGTTGGCCGGGACTGTTTCAGCCTTGCCACATGCCTGGTATTATATCCTTGCTCGACGCACAAACGTCGACGTGCCTTTCCGCTGCTGACTGACCGTAAGTTTGACCACTGGTGAGCTCGTGTGACCTTTGTCCCCTTTGCAGCTGTCGTAAGTCAGCGAACTGACTGGCCTGCCCTCGTCGACCGACGGACTAGTCAGTTTTTACTGTCCGTGTGAGTTGATGTCAGTGTCCTGGATATGGCGGTGACGTAATGTTGCACGCTGGTCACGTGGTTCTTGGCCGACTCCTCCCCTATTTTCCTCTGACCCAGTTGTAGTCCACGCTTGAGTTTACTTTGCCTTCTTGTTGGCCTTGTTCGAACTGACTCGATCCGTGTGCGTAACGCACGGTAGGCAGCAATCTTGCCCTCTTGTGATTGGCTCGGGCTAGTACCCTTGCTGTGTCAAATGCGAGAACGCAGTTCTTCCGATGTGCGTCATATAGAATGAACAACCTATCCTTGCGGTTGGTTGCCTGTTAATGCACGTGCAACCTTTTGCCAAGGCGTCTGTCCGTTTCACTAACATGCCTTGCATCGCAGTTTTGGCATAGTATGCTGTAGTCCACGGCGAATTGCTCTGTCAATAATAGCTGGTCTTTGGGCCTCATAATCTGCTGTCTGATGGTTGACTCCGGCTTATGAGTCACACCAGTCACGAATGGTTTCAGAATTCTTGCAGTCACCTCTGATACGTACTTCACATAAGGTTTTGCGAGCCAGAAATTGGGGTCCTCTCCTTTTGACCATTCAAGGAGGGACTTCTTAAGACACTTGCCTGCGAAGGACTTTGGATAACAGTTGGCCTGAAATAGGGCATGCAAGTACTTAATCTCCTCCATTTTCTCATTTTCGTCGCTGCAGTGTGTCTGAACGCGTTGGAAGAGGGCTCTAACACAACTGCGTTTGCGACCAAGGGGTTGGTTGCTTCTGAAGTGGAGAATGAGCATGGTATTGGTTGCTCTGCGGCAGACCGTTGTCCTTATCATTGAGTCTGCCAGTTTCATCACTTGTACATGGAGGAAGGGTAACCGATTGTTGACCTCTTCTTCCATAGTGCGCTGGACGTCAGGAAAGATGGAGTTCAGCAGTGCCTTGAGGGTCTGTACTTTGCTCTTTTTGATGATGACGAAAGGGTCGTCGACGTATTTGGCCCAGAACTTCGAGGTAGACGAGCTGAAGACCAGCCGCTCGAGCCTCTGCAAAACAGCTCCGGCAATAAGGCCAGACAGATGCAAGCCCATCGGTGTCCCCTTTTGTTTGTTCGTAAACTTGGCCATTGAACGTGAAGAAAGTTTTTAGACACAGTTCTAGGAGCTCGACGATGTGCAGTATCTTGACCCTTTGGTCGGATTCGTCGTATTTCTCTTGGAGAAGACCACCAATAATTTCGATAGCCGGAGTAGGTGGAATAGATGTTAACAACGAAATCACGTAAAACGACACCATCACCTCGTCTGCCTCCACTTCCAGGCATTGGATGCGGGTCAAAAACTCTTTAGCAGACTTCACTGTCCACTCTGAATCCTTGGTAAAGAAGCACAGTCGCTGATACAGCTACCTTGACAACCCAAAAGTTGGGGGTGCCTCGGAAGGGTACGATGGGGCGTAAGGGCACTCCTGATTTGTGCACCTTTGGTAGACTGTAGGAATGTGCCATTGCAGTGTTGGTGGCCTTTGCAGCCAGCGCCTCTCTCCTCGTTAGAGCTCCCGACTTCTTCAGTTTGTCGACCACTTTGCAAGTACTAAACCTCCTCCTCTTCCTCTTTCCCATTGTTTTCCCGAACAAACAGGAATAATCACCTGATTACTCTGAGGATGGAACCAAGCGAGTGTTCGGAATGTCAGTCTCAATTTAATTCGGCCCTTGTCGTCGTACTTTTTTTTCATCTTATTTGGTGAAAACGATAAGATATCGGGACCTCAAATCTTCACGCATATTAGAAATACTTTTTGTATTATTTTTTGGTACACCGATCTATCTCTCAGGATGTGTCCATCCTGGATTTATGCTTTTGAGAGTCGGGTCAACCGATTGTGTTTCACAAAGCTACTACTACTAACAAAATATATGTTGCTAGCCAAATGTAAGTAACACACCTTTTTTATGTTAGTATT